GGTGTCAGGCAGGGGGGGCTGCAGTGCCTGCCAGCACAGGCGAACACAGCACGATGTCCCTTCCCCAGCACTGGGCCTGTGAGGCAGGGTCAGGACACCCAAGCCATTCCCCACTTCCCTTCTTGCATCTACCATGGCATATTTTGGTGGGGGGGGTCAACAGAAGCAGGGCTGGCCATGTGTGCCCGGCATGTAGTGCTGGCGATGGAGGACAGCTCCTGCTTGGCTACTGTATTTATACCTGTTCCTTCCACCAGCAGGGAGAAATAAAGATTTATTTGTACTCTGGAGGGTTCAGTTACTGAAGGAGGAGCGGTGAGGGATGCTGCGGTCTGGCAGGCAGGGAGCTGGGGGTGCCAGGGCCAGGCACCCAGTCGGGGGACCCATGGGATGGGACCAGCACCGGCAGCATCGGAGGAACTGCAAAACTGGGGCAAAGTCCCAGCGAACCTCAGATCCAGGTGGGGTTTTCTGCCCAAGTCTGCTGCCAACCTGGGACGGTGCGGCCCTTTGCGCCGGTCACCAAGCTGCAGGATGCCCCCTCCCCAGGGCAGGGGGACACAGCCTGGCACCCCTCAGCCCTGCCTACAGCTGGCTCTGCTTGCTGGACCTCAGGGGCAGGGCTGCCTTTTCCGAGGCCCTCCCCGCCAAGGTTTTGAGTCCCCCGGGGCAGCAGCAGCCTGCATCCCATGACCCAGCCCCAAAAATCCTGGGAGACATAGAAGTAGACAAAGGGACTGAAGTAGTTGTTGAAGGTGCCAAGCACCAGGACCAGGGTGTACCAGATATAGGTGACATTGTGGCACCCTGTGGCCTCCAGCATGTAGTGGATGAAGAGCAGCACGTTGCTGGGGGTGAAGCAGAGGATGAAGACCAGGGCCAGGACAGGCACCACCTGCCCATAGCGTCTCCCCTTGGCCAGCAGCCGCACCAGGATGAAGCTGTAGAAGATTGTCATGAGCACGAAGGGCAAGCCAAAGCTCAGCCCCACCAGGGAGAGGAAAGAGTAGACGAGGAACACGTGCTCATCCTTTCCTAGGCCATCATGGCACACTGTGATGTTCAGGCTCGAGATATGACTTGTCTGGGGGTGCAAAAGCAGAGGGCTCATGCCCAGCCCCACCACCAGCCAGCTGCCCACACAGACGCCCACCTCACCCCACATCCAACTGGAGCCCTTCCACAGGAACAGGTGCACCACAGAGATGTAGCTCTCCAGGCCAATGCAGGTGAGGAAGAGGATGGAGCTCTACATGTTCCCATAGAAGAAGGCCACCATGGTATGGCACAGGTAGTCCCCAAAGAGCCAGTGATTGCCCAAGAGGTGGTAGGCCGCTTCGGGCTGTCAGTCTGGCAGCAGGAGGGTTTGGAAGGGGAAGAGGGTGCTGGAATATCTCCTGAAGTTGTTCACCAGGACCCAGCAGCCCAGAGCGTTGGCTGGCAACCCCACGAGCAGCACCAAGGAGTAGAGGACAGGGAGGAGGTGGGTGGTGAGGGTGAGGTTGAGAAAAGCTTCCATGGAGGCACTGGGGCACGTGGCTTCTTCTTGGGGAGTGAGGGGGATCAAGACTCACCCTTTGTCATGCACTGTGGAGGACACAAGGCATCAGGCTCGGCCAAGAGCCCCCTCCCACTGCCCCTTCCCCCTCAGGACTATGCAGGAGCTGTCACCCCTCCCTGCAGAGCCACCAGCAAATGCAGGACCTGGCATCTCCCTTCCCTATGGCAGGCACAGCTCGGGACGTAGGAGCCCTTAGCATCCTGCCGCCCTCACCGCACGGAGCCATGCCACATCCTGCACCGTCCACGCCACTCCCCCTGCACCGCCACCACGGCAATGCCAGCCCAGCCAGGTGCCCTGCCCGCAGCCCAGACGGGCTCTGCTCCCACGCACCGCTGCGGGGACACGTGGCTCTGCCGACTTCCCTTTTCCTTCCAAGCCCAGCACAATGGGTCCCCCGCAAACCAACAGGATCGAAGGGCCAGATGGGAAACCCACGCCACGACGGGGTCAGGATGTGGCCACCCATGCCAATATGGGAGATGTTGTCCTACCGGGGCTCCTGCCTCCTCCTCCTCTTCCTCCCAGCCAGCCCTCCTGGCTCAGTCCTCCACCACATCCAGGGCTGCGCACACCTCCCCGTCTTCCTGTGGTTGGAGGCTTTTCACTGCACACTCAGAACAAAACCAAAGAACAGGAAGGTCCCGGGACACCACACAAACAACTCCCAACCAAATCCCTTTTCTGGCTTGCTCAAAAAATGCAGTTGGGCTCTGCTCCCCTGTGCATCACCCCCAGCTACAAAAGCTCCATCCAGGTGGTTCCCAGGACGCCTGGCCCTGGGGGACCCCAGTTACAACCAACAGGTTTCCCTCTGCCACCTCTCCGCGTGCAAGGAACAGGGGAAATTCAGATTAAGAAAGCAGTAACCTGATTTTTGTTGCCAGAATGTGAAGGGGTGGCAGGTTTTCAGGTCTTCACTTAGGTTTTCAATGTGGACACCCAGGGAAGGCAGCAGAACAGTGCCCTGAGCTTTCACTGTGACACCCAGCTATCCCCTCCAAGTGTGTCGTGGTTTAACCTCAGCCAGCAACTGAGCACCACACGGCCACTCGCTCACTCTCCCCACCCCCTGGTGGGATGGGGGAGAGAATTGGAAGAGTAAAAGTGGAAGAAGAAGAAGAAGAAGGAAGAAGAAGGAAGAAGAAGGAAGAAGAAGGAAGAAGAAGGAAGAAGAAGGAAGAAGAAGGAAGAAGAAGGAAGAAGAAGAAGAAGAAGAAGAAGAAGAAGAAGAAGAAGAAGAAGAAGAAGAAGAAGAAGAAGAAGAAGAAGAAGAAGAAGAAGAAGAAGAAGAAGAAGAAGAAGAAGAAGAAGAAGAAGAAGAAGAAGAAGAAGAAGAAGAAGAAGAAGAAGAAGAAGAAGAAGAAGAAGAAGAAGAAGAAGAAGAAGAAGAAGAAGAAGAAGAAGAAGAAGAAGAAGAAGAAGAA